GAGAACAGCACAGGAGGGATGAACAGCAGATGTAGAACAGAGAGAGTATCTTTGACTATGATCATGCTTGCAGATGGAAGTTAAAACTGTGGATGAGGCTACAGCTGGGGCTAAAATGTTTCTCGGGGACCCAGGGGATTGTCTATGGCACATTGTTGTTGATGTTGTGTACCACAGAATCAGAACCAACCCAGAGCTGAGCCTCTGCTGGGTTTTCAGAGGCAGTTAATCATACGGGAAGAGCTTGTCCATCCTTCTCGCTCAGAGCAGTTGGTGGCCTTGAATTGCATGGCTTTGGGATTGCGGTGCAGCTTCTTGCCCGTAGGCCACCAGAGCTCCACATGGCATATCTATTTTTTTTTCCAACTATGCTCCATAGAATTCTAGAAACCTGCAAGTAAATGGACGAATGAGGATAGTGGACTATTCCTCATTCCTTTCCATTCTCACTTCAACAGAACACCTTCATTTTTTTCTTTTTTATTTTAGCAATGTGTCAAATGTTTTCTTTGAAGAGGAATTTTAAAATAGCTTCATTTAAAAGCTTTAAAACCATTGGTATAACATACATTCCCAAAAATGAATTGAAGATTTTTATGTGGCCTTTGCTGAATTTTTTTGTTTTTTAAACTAACCACCTATAGGGCATTTAAAACAACTGTGCTGTAGCTCACAGTCTAACAATTGAGCTGTGGAAGTTTCCTGCCTTATTTGATTTGCAAAAATGATTCTCCATCTTTATTCAGGGACAAAAATCTAGTCTATGCTCTTATACTTATTTATAGAGACTCCTTATACTCTATTGTTTTAGAAGGCTATTTTGCAGAACATGTTCACTATCTGTTAAATCAGCCCTCAACCAGAAACAATTAACTAACTCTCTTCCAGGAAAAATAACTTCACTGTTTCTGGAACCCTCTAACCAGTCACTGTGGGCATCCAAGCCAGCACATGGTCATAGAGCACTTCAGTGAGGCTACCTTGAGAACTGCCTGGTGAAGCTGTGTGACCTCAGACGTTCCTCTGGCTTCTCATGCTGAAGATAGCTCAGCAGATTGGCAGATTGTTGGAAGACTTTGGAGAATACTTTGGTCTCTTTCCAGCCTTCTATGTCCTAGTGAGAGGCTGCAGCCTAAGAAATTCCCTAAGAGAACAATGCCAGGAACACAAACTAGGGCAACATGAGCAAACTCAGACTGACTCATAACTATTTGGATAGCCATTTGCAAAAGGTTTGATTGACACAGTGAAGAACTCTTTCCGACTCTCTGCTCCTTGTACTCCCACATATGTCCATACCTTTACAGGGGGTAATAATGCTTCCTTTCTCTAAAGGTCAGCCCAGTAGCTGGAGCCATAGGCACTCAAGCCAGCCCACTGGAGAGCCTCAAGCCACATACAAAATATCATCTAGGTCCAACAACAGACACACTGGATGCCAATTAGAGAATTAAGGAGAAGAAATGGGAGAAAACCTACAACCACTAGGCAAAAATTACAGACTGTCAATTTCATCTCACTGAGACCCCGAGTGGCACAGATCTAAATCCTACTCAAAATCAGATCTGTTACTTAGGCCTTAAGAGTGTTGGCTGCCTGACTCACGCTCCAATCTTGGCAATTTCATAGCCAGCATCAATGGTTCCTTTGCCTGCAGATACAGCTGCAGAGATTAGCAGACGATGGCGTCCTGTGGCTCGGGCTTCAGCTTCAAAAGCTTCCAACATTTCCTGCAACAAATGATAGGGTTGTTGCTATTCGTAGTTGCCGTCAAGTCAGCTCCAAACTCAAAACTACACATCCACCAGAACAAAAACCTTCCTAATCCTGGACCGACTCCAAGATTGGTTGCAGATCACATTGTTGTGATCCACAGGGTTTTCACTAGCATCTTTTGACAAGTAGATTGCTAAGCTTTCCTTCCTAAGCCATCTTAGTCTGAAAAGTCTGCTGAGCCTGTTTTGGTGTCATGGCAACACGTAAACCTCCAGTGACAGCTGGTGACAACTGCATGTGAGGTAAACTGAAAAACTCACTCAATGCCATCAAGTTGGTCATGGCTCATAGTGACTCTCCACTGGGTTTCCAAGACTGCAAATTGCAAAAGAAGGAGGCTATCCATCTTTTCTCCCAAGAGGGCCTGGGGGATTTGAATCACTGGAAAGGTGCAGCCTTTGGTTTAGCAACACAACTCACTACAAACTGTATCACCAGAGCACACGTGAGGTATAATGACAAGAAACTGAGACTGTGCTTCACACAGAAGGTGAGAATACTATCACTGAGCATCACTAGCCACCAAAATATAGAATAATATCAAAATTATGGTTAGTGTTGACCATATGGAAAACATACTGCTTCTAAATAACCCAAATATTGTTAAATATAGTAACACATGGTGGGGTAACTCTCCTTGCTTCTGTCTGCGTACTAGACTTACATGTGAATGAGCTAAAGCTTGGGACCCAAATTTTCTGCAATCTTTTTCTGTGCTTCCTCATTGAAGCAGAATCTTAAAGAGAGAGATGTTTTTGAGACCTCTATTACCTTCCAATTATGGTTTGGGGACAAATTTTGTTGTTAGTTACTCTTGAGTCAATTCTAACTCATGACATCATACGATGATAAAACTATCCCATGGGATTTTCTGGGCTATGGCCTCTCAGAAGCCAGTAAACTAGCACTTCTTCTGAGGTGCTTCTGAGTAGGTTTGATCTATCAACCTTCCAGCTAGTAGTCAAGCATGTTACTATTTGTACCACCCAGGAACTCTTGGGCAAATTATTTCTGTATGATTTGACAGTTTTTCAACACTCAGAAATAGAACCATATATGCATAGTGCCTAAAAGAGTGTCTGACATGTTAAAATTGGCTTTCTTACCTCCCTTTCTCCTTTCCTGGGGAAATAGCCAGTCAGGAGTGGGGGATCCCCAGACCTCCTGACTTTGTTAACTGTATCTGTTGGTCCTTACCTCAATCAGAATGGTAAAACGTTGCTTATCCTCGGGTGGACTTCCCCGGGAGCCAGGGTACTCAAAGTCAAGGTCAATGCCATCGAACCCATGTAGCCGAAGATACTCAACCACAGAGTCAATAAAAATCTTCCGGTTGGCAGCTGTGGCCACCATGGTGGTAAACCTGGAGAAGGTATGGTCCTTATTCATGTGGCACCACATTTGTCCCCTCCCATGTGGATTTGGTGTAACTCAGGCTCTAAGAGAAAGAGCAATCACTACCCATTCCTGTTCTTAGAAAGCCAGTTTCATCTCCACGAGCTACTCTGAGTGTCTGATGTCATAAAAATCCTCCCAGTCTATAAAATAGGCCTTGAGGTGATTGCAAACATTCCTCTACTATTTTAGTGCCACCAAGTGACAAGTTACTTTCCAATGTAACTATGAATTCCCAAGTCCCTTCAGGAAGGGCATCATAATTCAGTAATAGGGCAAGCAGAACTGTATCTTCAAACCCAGTTTCTCTCAAAACATGTGTCATTACAACCCTTCCCTCCCTCTTCCTTCTCTCCTGACTTTATGATAATTACAGCTACTTACATTCAGGATTCCTGGGAACATTTCCTTATGTTCTTGCACCTCTGTGTCTGCTCATGTGGTTTTCTTCTCCTTAAATGTCTTTTCCAATCTTTCTGACAGAATTCTGCTCACTATTCACTGCCCTTTTCAAATGGTAGTTCTTATTTTAAACTTCTGGCCTATGCAGAATTTAGCATGGCATTCTCATAAACTTTTTAATCCATTTTCCATATGCCACTGTAGCACTCACTCATTACAGGATTCAGTTACATGTATGTAGATTTGACTCCCTAACTAGATAGGAAACTGCCTGGGGTTCTTTTATATAACCTTTTTAAACTTCCTGGTATTTTTATTAATTTGTTTTTGTCTCACTCTGTGCTATTCAGCGTTGAGTCAGAACTGACCCATAGTTGATCCTCTGGTGGATTTTCAGAGGTAGTTAATCACACGGGAGGAGACTGCTGGAATTCTTCCAGCTGACATTATGCTCTAACACACCTTTTCTTCAGTTATTGAAATAGAGGAGCACATTACATCCTTTAAGACTCCAATAGTTTTGCTGTTGGGTTTTTTTTCCCCCAGAGGGAAAAAAATTTTTAAAATTAATTTTAATGAAAGTTAACAGACTTTGGATTTCCATTCATTCATTCACTCATTGTTGCACACTTTCCTTCCTTCCCACCCCTCCCCTCCAGTTTGCTTCTCTTTGAAAAGTAAAAATAAAACAAAAAAATTATTTCATTGTTAGTCTACTCCATATGCAGCTTTCATTCTGGACTTTTGTCTTGACAATAATACCTACTCACATATCCCTTTCTCTCCCTCATTCTGTTTCAGTGCAGTATACATTATTCCCTCTTCTCCCCATCCCCCAAGTCAGTCCCACTTTACAACAGTGGCATTATGAAGTATTTGTCCTTTTATGGCTGAGATATTTTACTCAGTATAATGTCCTCCAGGGTTACCCATTCTGTATATTTCGTGAGTTCGTTTTTCAATGCTGCATAGTATCCCATTGTGTGAATATAACACAGCTTCTCCAGCCATTCCTTTGTTGATTGGTACTTGGGTTGTTTCCAAGTCTTTGCTATTGTGAACAAAGCAGCAATAAACATGGGTGTGCATAGATCTGCTTGGGCAGCAGTTCTGGTTTCTGTAGGGTAAATTCCCAATAGTGGAATTGCTGGGTCAAATGGTTTTTCTGTTTACAACTTTTTGACAAAGCACCATACTGCCTTCCAGAGTGGTTACTCCATTTTACCTACCACAGACAGTGAATAAGGGTCCCAGTATCTCTGCAACCTCTCCAGCATTTGATGTTTGCTGCTCTGTTGAATTTTGCTATTTTTTCCTGGACTAAGATGGTCTCTCATAGTTGTTTCAAAGGACAAGTATTTTTTTATTTTATTTTATTTTTATTGTACACATTGGGAACAGTATGAAGAACAGAAAAGATACACAGGTCAGTCTTCATCTGAGTTGCTGGGACCCATGTACTGGCAGACAGCATCATAGTGAAGCTCCACCAACTGATTCTCTCTCTGAAGCCGCACCAAAGCTCGGTTCCGTTCTGTGTCCCAGTCAATTAGCTGTCCTACCCTTCCAGCTTGGGGTCCCAGCACCACCATTACCCGTTCGCCACGGACCTTGGGAATCAGGGTTTCCAGCATGTCTTCCCTCAGGTCTTCTAGGATCTGGTTTTCATCTGTCCGACACACACAAGTATCTGGGCTGAGGACATCTTCAATTATCATCTTGGTGTTGTAATACTGGCCACCTTTGTGCAACTTGTCCACAAACCGCACACGCAGGTCTCTGCGTAACCAGTGTTGTTTCTTTGGGCTTGCTTTCGCACTTTTAACTGTGAATCCATCTTGTTGATCTGGAGGGCGTTTCCGCTTCCTCTCCTGAAGTGCCTTCAAAGATGAGGCTGTTCCATTCTGTTGCTCTGAGGAAGTTTTTCTCACCTGACTTAAATGCAAGTTCTTGTCAAACTCCTGCTGTGAGACAGGCAGTAGGCAGTATTCACTAATAGTCACCACTTGGTTCCCCACTGCCAGACGAACCATGGCTCGGGCATTGTCAGGATCAAGGCCCTCTACCTTCCCATAAATGCCTCGGTGGGGGCCAGATCGAACCACTACAGCTCTTCCAGGCACCAGTCCTTGAGGCTCACCTTCTTTCAGCTTCTCTTGTTCCTCATCCGGCTTAGGCACTCGGTGGGGGGCTGTACAGGCTAGGGCTTGGGCCTCAGTCAGGTTGGCACCAAGTCCTAACCCCTTAGGCCTCAGCGCACTGACACGAGGCTTCACAACTTGATTGAAGGTACGGCCAATGCCCTGACCAGGTTTCCAGCCCATACCCCGAAGCATGGCCAGTCCATAAGCCTCCACAGGTACCGTCTCATAATCTGCCTCCTCTGGTACCGTTTCAGCCTGGAGTTTGCTGCCTGCTCCTTCCCCACTGGAGTTGCCTTCTTTCGGGATCATAGGGATAGTGAGCGTGGCGTTGACGTTCTCATTCTCTCTCTCCTCCAGAGTCTTTCTGGATTCCTCAATGAGCTCCTCTGCTGCCTGGGACAGAAGCGCCTCATCCGCCAAGGCCTCATCCGCCAAGGCCTCAGCACCTGTTGACGGTCCAGGTGCTTTAGTCAATAGCTGCCTGTGGTGTCTATTCTGGATTAAAGGGATAACAAGTTCCTTGGCGCCTTCTGAAGGCTTCACACTCTGCAGCTCCCTCTCTTCCACAGTACTCAAGAAATCCTTCTCCTCGGGGGCAGTCCTCTTACTGTGTTCAAGGTCCACCATACGCCTCCGAGAGGACGTGCGGCTGAAGCTGAAAGAGACCGGGGAAGGAGAGACCGCCGTAGCCGGCAAAGCAGTTTCTTCCGCATTCGCCATCTTGACCCTTTTCCCAGGCCTGTGCCGCGCGGTTTGCCAAGAAGCTTTTGGGCGCTGTGCTCTTAAATGCCTGTGAACAAACGCAATATCTTTCCCATAATACACTGGGGCCGTGGCGCGGGCGGAAATGAGGGCCCTGGGAACGCGCGGTCGTTCTTTTTTTCCGGAACGCGTGGCTCAAAGCATCCTGGGAAATGTAGTTCAGTCCTCTGAGGAATCAAGTACGTTACTTTCTCTGAAGAATCTTTTGTTCTGTTAAAACTTTTAGCATCTGCACATCCAAAAACTTCTCCAAAAGGATAAAAAAGGAAGCCACAGACTAGGAAAAAATATTTGGTAATGACATGTCTGTTGTTATTGTTGTTGTTAAGTGCCGTTGAGTCATAGGCGATTCATAGCGACCCTATGAACAAGTCCTCGACCCTTGTGTGACTTTCATCCTCTCTCCAGGTTCAGAGGGTTTCAGGAGACAAGCTGTTTACGGAAGTGGATGCCACTCTTGCTTCCAAGCTTGTTTTAACCGGGGAGCCCCATCAAACACTGTCCACTATGGGTAACCATTATCTCATTTGACACATCAGTGTCACAGTGTTCACCTTCACAGCAACCACAGGTTGACTCTGTACGGCAAGTGGACACACCAGGACTATACGACCTACAAGAATGTTTGACCAAAACCAATTAAGAACTGGCCTGAGGGCCATGGATTAGTCACCCACCCATGTGTAATAAGGGACTTCTTATCTAGAGTTTATAGAATACCGCCACAAAAAAGATAAAGGTAAACAATCCAATCACAAAATAGGCACAGGATATGAATAGACACTTCACCAAAGATGACATTCAGATGGTCAACAAACATATGAAGAAATGTTCAAGGGAGCTCTGGTGGCCTAGTGGCAAGAAGCTGCGATACAATCACAAAGGTAAAGTGTTCAAATCCACCATATGCTCCTCTGGAGAAGGAGGGACAATCTCCTCCTGTGCCAATTGGATCTGATTTGATGGTACACAGCAAGAAAAAGAAAAAATGGAGACCTGTTCAAAATCCTTAGCTCTAAGAGAGATGCAAATCAAAACAACTATGAGATATCATCTTACTCCAGTAACAATAGCAAAATTCAACAGAGCAGCAAACAATGCTGGCGAGGTTGTGAAGAAACTAGAACACTTATTCACTGTTGAGGGGAGTGTAAAATGGTGCAACCTCTTGAAAGGATCAGTTATCAGCAACTCAGTTTCTTATAAAGTACAGTTAAACCCACCCCACCCGCTTGAGTGGTTTTTAGCGAACAAACAACCCCCACCTGTGGTAAATCCCATCTTGATTGATCAACTGCCATAAAGTGGAATTATTCTTCTTTTTAAGGGCACAAGGGATTGATTTTTCTGCATTTCTGTATCTGAAGTAACCTATAAGATTCAAATAGGTTTCCAAACTGTTTCCCTGAGCTATGGCTAGCCAATTGAAGGTGGACAAATACCCAAACTACTGTGGATGGCCAATCATGGTGTGTACGGTCGGGCAGGGGAGTAGCAGAGGTATAAAAGGAGGAGCAGACATCAATTCGGGGCTCTCGGCTGGATGCTGCTGTGTCAGCATGCGGGAGCCCTGGTTCGAACTCGAAATAAACTTTGTTAATTCGGCTAATTGGCTTGGTGATCTTTCTGGTGACTCGCTGTTACACCTCTATGGAAGGCAGTAAGTTGCTTTCCCAAAAAGTTGGAAATGCAAATACCATTTGACCCAGCAATTCCACTACTGGAATTTTACCCTAAAGAAACCAGAACTGCCACCCAAACAGATAAATGCACACCCATGTTTATTGCTGCTTTGTTCACAATAGCAAAGAGTTGGAAACAACCCAAGTGCCCATCAACAAACAAATGGCTGGAGAAGCTGTGTTGTATTCACACAATGGAATATTATGCAGCACTGAAAAATAAAGAACTCATGAAATATTACAAATGAGTGACCATAGAGGACATTATGCTAAGTGAAATATCTAAGTCACAAAAAGACAAGTACTGCATAATGCCACTGTTATAAAACAGGACTGACATGGGGGTTAGGGGGAAACTAATAAAAGAGGGGATAAAAAATGTACATGACATTGAAACAGACAAGGGATTGAACGGTATAAAAGGAATATATGGTTAGGTATTATTTGCATGATAAGCATCCAGATATAGGAGCTGCATAGTAAATGGACTTGGCCAGGGGAGGGGGGGTCAGGGAAAGGGACACAACTGTATAACAATGAATTAATTTTTTTCCCCCAAAGAATAAAACTAACTGGTAATGAAGTGGGCATGGAGGAAAGTGTGCAACAAGAAATGAGTGGAAATCCAAAGTCTTTAGAAACTTTCATTAAAATATCAATTAAAAAATATTTTATGTATCCATAAGCAAGTGAGGTTTTATCATCTGTATAAATTAGGTTGTTGATTAGTCTTTCCAGAATCCAACAGTTTTTTCATTCCTGTGTACCTCTGGCTTAGATATTCGGTATCTAACATAATATTTGACACATAAGACATATTCAATAAACACTTGATGAAATACATTAAAGCCTTCAAAACAAACAGATGTTATGTGTTAGATTGTGCTCATAGATGACTCCTCTGCACTGTTTCTCCTCTAGGCCTGTCTGCTATGCACTGGAGATAAATTCTCAGCTCTAAGCAACTTCCTTTTCAAGATAAAAATGCATTGTCATATTGAATCATCATAACTGATTCATAACTGACCCTCTGGTGGGTTTTCATAATCTGTTAATTGCACAGGAAGTAATTGTCTGTCTTCCTTCCAAGGAGTCACTGGTAGATTCAAACTACCAGAAAGGCATTACCTTTGAGTTTGCAGTGCAATTCCCTATAGGATAGGCCACCAGAGCTCCCTACTCCTTCACAATGAGCATGTCTGTAATCAGCCAAACACTGTTTTCTGCTCACTCATTTTCTGGTTCTAGGTCTACTCCAGTTTCTAGCATAGCGCCTACAGACCCATTTCTGAGATATTTGATAATACTTTTCATCCTCTTCCCCCTTTCTTCACTTTCAAACTAGCTTCAGGTTCTTCCTTCTTGCATCAGCCTGGGCTCCAACTCCCCATAAAACGAAAAGTTCTTACTTCTGGGTGCCGAAGTTCCATCCACCAATTGCCAGGAGTGTAACCAAGTTTTCATTACTGATGAGAAAGAAGAGAAGTCCATTTTAGCCAAGCATAGGGAAATCATCTCATGAAGTCCAAGTAGCTATTCCTCAGACTCATGTTTGTAACACTAAAAGAACAGAACTCCACTTGAGATCCCCCTCTGTTCCTCAAAGAATTAACCATTATGCTGTTATGTGAACCATTCCGATGGGAGCACCCACATCTGAGTTCTGAACCACCTGGGCAACTTATCTCTCATGGATAGAATGGTGGACATTTGGGCAAATGGACTCAAAGACTCTAGAACTTGCACTCCAACACCACTACTAACTCCTCTCAAAAGTGTCAAATGTACCATCTATTTGAAAACAGGGAATATTCCAAATAGAGTTCACTCCTCCCATCCTACTCTCAATAAAAAGGCAGTTACTTGAGAAAGTTCATTAACAGAAGCTAATGAACAGTCAGCTTTTGAATCTTTTTCCCTTAAAGTTTCTCTGGCATTCTGGACTTTTTCTTGCTCCCTACCTCCACCTCAGAGGGACATAGTCTCGATAGGAAGGAATACAATTTAGATCTATCAGGGAGATGAAGGGAAATGGATTAGAGTGATGAAACCAACAATTCTAGGTGATAAAAATCTCTCAGGAAAAGAAATTTTCCTTTTTATCAAAGTGCCTTGGCAGTTCTATTCTCTACCCCAAAGTCATTCTTTCCATACTGTGAACTTTAGCACTGGGGAAATGATCCCCAATATTAGTTTTTAGTCTTGAGTCTACCCAGAGTTTTTGTCCTGGGACTCCCCATACATTCTAGAACAAGGTACTCACTGTTGCTTAAGGGCCTGGAACCGGGGGTAGAGGACATCATCATTCCACTCATAGGGCGCGATCTTGTTATTGGCCATAGTGGCGAAGGCATAGATGAGATGTGTACACAGGCAGGGATCCACATTCTCTGGCATGTATTTGGCAGGGTCTGGGCGGTACTGGGACCAGTTGGTGAAGTAACACACTAGCTTCGTTGCTGTACCTGGTTGAGAAGAGCAGAGGCTGGGAGTTAAAAATGATGTGGAGCTCTTGGAGCTCCTCCAGGGGCTCAATGGAAAGGAATGGCAGAAATACTCTGGGAATACAGTTCTTTGTACTAAGGACCAGGAATGTGGAGAGGACACAGAATTCTGGGCTCATACTGATTAGGTAAAACTGCAAGCTAAAAGTGTTCCCCATCTCAAGAAGTGAGTACAATCATACAATAAAAGGGAAACTTTTTTCCTGAAGATATTTAAGATCTGCAGAGTTAATTATTCTCAACATGAGTTTATTATTATTATTAATTATTGTTAAGTCTGATTCATGGTGACCCCATGTGTGCCGAGGAGATAACTATACAGGATTCTCAAGACTGTTACTTTTTTTTTTTTTACTGTTACTTTTTTAGAAGAAGATTGCTGGGCCTGTCTTTCAAGATCAGTTAATTGTTTCCACCACCTAATGTGATCTCAACTCTATATCATGATAAGTGTCATTCTGGCCCTTGGCAGTCCTCATTCCTACCCCTTACTTAAAGGAATATGAATGTTGGAATCAGGCAGGGAGAGAACTGCCTCTACCAGAGGTGGTAAAGGGGCGACAGCTTTGACTATCTTATAAAAGCTGGAAACCAGCCCTCTCAAGTGCTTGAATACTTAAGTCGGCTGGTTGTCAAAATTCCCTTCTCAGAAGGAAAGCTTCACAATACTCACCAAGCTGCAGCTGCAGTAGCACAGCCAGACCTGTCAAACAGCAAGCAATAACATTATAAAAGTGATTAATTAGGTTTCTGACATGCATACACAAAATGC